AAATAAATTACTTCAGTTGTCCTTGTGCAAATACTTTGCATTCTTTAAATCAACAGAGGTGCTCAAATGTCACAGAATAAATAAGATAGACAAAAGAGAAAAAAAAGATTACAGGGAGTCATGAAACTAGTAGCATTCTGTCAGCAAGCTATTTTAATGCCCTATAAAATTACCAAACATATTATTAATATCCCAAGCCTAATATTCAAAACTGATCCATGCTAATAGCTTCTTTCACCAGGAAAACTATTACCGAAGGAGTGATCAGTGTCAACAGGCAAATTAGCAATTTATGCCTTTTATGTTTAACAGCAGCAAAGACACTTCAGTATGACCAGTTCTGACCAAAATGATCCTGGGTGTTCAATATAGCTCACATAATGGAAGCTCACATTTTCTGAAATGCAACTACGGGGGTATATAGTTCCTTTCCTTTTTATGGCCAACACAAGATTAATTATTACAAGTGGGGTGCTAATCTTCATAAATAAAATGAACAAAAATGATTAAAAAATAAAAATTCAAAGGTCATTAGGCTCAAAATACATTTCTTCTAGCCTAAGAGCCACCTACATTTGCAGTTATCTGCAGAATAGCAAAGCACAGTAAGTTTATTTATAGCACAGATACACAGACCTAATTTAGAAGTGGTCTCTCTCATTGATTTCCAATGAAAAGAAAAAAAATAGCAAGAACAAGCTTTTTTCAACCACTAGTAATTAGGTGACCATTTAAAAAAAAAATCCAGACAAGCTGTAAAGCAATAGGAGGAAATGCAGAAAAAAAGACTTACGGATACTCCTTTTCCTATACAAGTTTGTATTAAAACAATGATTATACAGTTAGACCCTGATGCTGCAAAGCTGTAGGGGATGTGCTCAACAACTTCTTAGAGCTGTTCACGTGCTTAGCTAAAACAAGCACCTAAAGCTAACCATTACAAGAGCGGGGCCTTGATGCAAGTTATTTACCCTGGTTTGGTTACGGCTCACAGCTTATTCTGTTACACAGGCCTACAGGATCATGTGCTTATGTATATATGCAAGATTTATATTTGTAAATACTTGGCTTTAAA